CCGCGGGCAGGCTGCGGCGGGGCGGTGGGCGCGGGCTGCCGGCGGGCACACGCCATGTCTTTTGCTCCCACCTGTTTGACTCGGGAGGGCAGGGGGGTGGTTGGGACGGGCTAACGGGGCTGTGTCGGTCGCGGGGTGTGCGGCGCTGCTTTGCGGGGTCTCCCGCCCGGTCCCCCCTGGCTGGAGCGCGTTCCCCGGGCGGGCTCGGCTGATTTTTCGGCTCGTTTTCCGCGCCGCGGTGGCCGCTCACCACCCGGCCGGGCCCGGGGAGCACGGGGCAGAGGCAAACTTTTTCTCGCGCGTGAAACTTGCGAGGGAGACAGAGGACGCGAGGCAGAGATCTGGTCTGGACACAACGGGCATTTATTTTTACCCTGGCAGAGGGGAGGGGGGTGCAGAATGGCAACTGCTTCGAGCTCTGCGATCGGAAAATATTTCTAGATCCAGTGCCTGTGCTGTGCTCTGCAATTAGATTGACACATGTACAACATGCCCAGCCATTCAGGGGGTGCTGAAAGACACGCCAGAAGGGGTTTTTTTTGTTGTTGTTGGTTTTTTTGTGTGTGGAAGATATTAAAGAGGTATCTGTTGTTTGGCAATTTTGCTAAGTCTGTCTTCATTACTTCAACATTGTGCATTTGCTAATTTGGAAGCCCCTTTCTATTGACAGTCCTGCTCCATACACCTGCAAGCAATTTGCAGAGCTCCAATATAGGAGAATTGCAGAGATGGCAACTCGCACCTATTTTATTTTATTTTTTTTCTTCCCTTTTCTCAATGCACAGCAAATTTGGCTTTCAGTGCGTTATCTCTTTTGTTAATGCAAAAAGATTCCCTGGGCGAAAAAATTGCTCATAATTACCAGAGAGATGGGGAAACTGCATTAGAATAAATAAACCTGAAATTACTGTAATTATGTTGTGTTTGATGGGCTCGGCTTGTAATCAAGAAGAGAATACAGTGAAATGATGCTGACCCTCTTGGGTTTGCAGCTGTACGCGCACTTTTGGGTCCTTTTTTGCAGAAAAGAGTCATTTTGATCATCATTAAGCTGTGTGTAACCTATTTCAGAAGTGTTTGAAAATGAGGGGCACATCCCCCCCACCACAAGGAAATAATATAGATAGATAGATAGATAGCTAGCTAGCTAGATAGATAGATAGATAGATAGATCTTAAAATTACATTTTGCCATTCAGGGCTCATCCATCAGGTTGTGTTTGCGGGATGACAATTGTTAAAGGCATAATATTCGGAATCAGGATTTAATCATTGTAATGAGGTATTGTTTCAATATAAGCACCTTTGGATTATTCATAGTTTAATTAATATCCTCATTATGAAAATCCCCGAATCAGATATTTGATGAACTACTTGTCAGCAACAAGGCAGAATTAATTAGGCCTGTATTGAGATTAACATTTTCAAATGTACAATTATAATAGACTCTAACTCAAGCCCGCCTCGTTGAGAGAAAACTAATAATTTCTCTATTTGAACTGTTATCCGGGCGTTATTGAATTAGGAGCAGCTCGCGCAGATCCTGGCGCTCCAGCCGGCTTGACCGCTCGGCCCCGGGCCGAGCACAGCTGGGCCCGGGGGCGCCGCTGCGGGTCGGTGGCAGGGAAGGGAGCCCCGGGCTGCGCGGATCGCTCCCCAGGGCCGCCCGCACCTCATCTCCTCCGGCGCGTTCAGGCCACCCCCTAGTTTGCTCGCTCCTCGCCAGGGCCGGATGCATCCCACTGCCCCTCTCCCCGCCGGCCTCCCCGCGCCAGCCCGGCCCCCCGGACAGAGCCTGCCTCGAGATCCGCACGCCGGGCGGCGCAGC